TGGGTGAAAAGATCTCCGCAAACGTGCCGTTGCAAATTGCAGTAGCGGAAGGGGAAAGCGCTGTGTTGCTGCCATAACTTAGTAGAAACGGATAATCTTTGGATTTGGCAAATGGGGCTCCTCGAATCTTTTTCTTGTGGCGGACGAGAATGGCATAAAAACAACATCGGAGTTTGAATTACCATGGGCATAGTGGGCATGGAAAGTCATGGAGAAGAACATGAGAGGAAGATAGTTTTCATCGCTGAATTTTTTAATCACACCATCAAAATTGTCTCCAAACTCGAATGGAAAATATAATTATATTTACTTTTAAGAAATCAGATTCGCATTTCTAGAAAATATTCAGCACAAACAATAGTGAGTCTGTAGCGAATACATAGAAAGTAAAAGGGAGGGAGAGGGGGTGCACCTAAACTTTATTTTTTAACCTCACATTCAAAGATGCTATGACGCATTATGCGCTTATTCAATATTCTTTAATATTATAATTGAAATTATCTCATTCATAATCTGGACTTCGTTCCTAAAAATCTACGTTCGCTTTTGCCTTCCAAACTTGTTCATCAAAGTCATTGATCTTTTTTATTAGAAAATTTCAACTAAAAGTGGTAATAAAAACTCGACGATTTGTGACATTTGAAAGCATCAAAGAAAAAAGGGATAACATTGTCTCTTTCTCTGCGATCGAAAAGTCTTCAATGGTATGATGTATGCTTCTTTTCTTGCAACAATAATATATTCTTTAGGACGAGTGCCTACATCGTGCTGTAACCTTCATGGTATGGACACATATCCAACAAATTGCGGTGTCTCCTTCACACAGGCTCCGCTAGAAACATATGCTGATTTTCTGCACCCAAAGGTAATAAAGCACTCATTTTTTCATTATCTAATCGATCACTATCTTCATTTCCTCCATTGCTCGACGATGCACAAGAGTTAAATAGTGTATCCTGTTTCTTCTAACTATTGATCTATGCTTTATAAAACGGGATTCTGAA